TTCTGGAACCTAAGCTTGTCCATTACCACTACTTGGTTGACTGGGTATGCTCGGAGCATCGCAGTGCAGTAGTGCGTCTTGTTCTTTCAGTTCATGCTGCCTGAACTCCATCGTTGTCCGCCACTGCACTACAATCACTTCCAAGTCAAGTGACTCCATCTCTAGATGCTTACTGAGCTCCATCATCAGTTTGTCTCTTTCTTTTTCCTCATTCCGTGCGCTAATGTACTCAATCGCGGAGTTGATTTGCGTCTCTTGAAGCTTCACTGCGTTGTGTAGAGAGTTGAGAAGATTGGTTATCAGTCCCGTTTTCTCTTTTATGTACTGTTCACATTCTTCTTTCAGTGTGGGGAATGTGAAGGGGACATCAATATTTTTGATTTGTGACTCGTGGAATTTCACGAGTTTGCAGGCGTTGTTAATCCTGATCTTGAAAAGCTGGAGCGACGCCATTTTCTTTTCTGCTGCACTGGGTAGAGTCGTGCGCTGGTGTGGTAATTCCAAGCGTTACAATTTGGAAGTGTGTATCCTCCTTGTGTTGATCGCTTTGGCTTGAGGGCGACAGCAGGGCTGGCCTCGATACGATAGCTGTCCTAACTGGTTGCAAGGAAGCTTTCTAGTGAGCTGGCAAGTGGGTGCCGAGCGTCTACTAGCTGTCAGCAAGCGCGCCTGGTTGGCTTGTACGCTGTACTGGACGGTAAGGTGTTGAAACCTGTCCCGTGGATGTAACGATCCAAAGCTCAAGATCGGTGAACCGACCGTGAATGAGCTTGGAAAGTTGAGATTTCTTTGCTAACTGTGGATGGACCAGTCAATCAACTAGAAAATCTCCTTGCTAAGCTATGGATATGACCTGATAGCAAGATGACTCTTGTTTGTGAAAGTGGTGAACCAACAATCACAGAGTCTTTTTGGCTGGTTGAGGCCAAAAAAGATCGAGGATTTCTGTTGCTAACTGTGGTGGACCAGTCAGTTAGCTAGAAAAATCTCTTTGCTAGGCTATGGATAAGACCTGATAGCTTCGCAAGATGACTCTTGTTCGTGAAAGTGGTGAACCAACAATCACAGAGTCTTTTTGGCTGGTTGAGGCCAAAAAAGTTCAAGGATTTCTGTTGCTAACTGTGGTGGACCAGTCAGTTAGCTAGAAAAACCTCTTTGCTAGGCTATGGATATGACCTGATAGCTTCGCAAGATGACTCTTGTTTGTGAAAGTGGTGAACCAACAATCACAGAGTCCTTTTTTGACTTTAGGAAAGCCAAAAGTTCGAGGAGTTCTTGTACTAACTGTGGTGAACCAGTCAGTTAGTTAGAAAACCTCTGCTAAGCTATGGATATGACCTGATAGCTTAGCAAGACTCGTATTAGTGAAAGTGGTGGACCAACAATCACTAGAGTCGAATATTGGCTAATTAGTAGCCGAGAGTGCGAGGAGTCTGTCGCTAACTGTGGTGAACCAGTCCGTTAGCTAGAAACCTCTACTAAGTTGTGGATAGGACCTGACAACTTAGTAAGACTCTTGATCGTGAGAGTGGTGGACCAGCAATCACGAGAGTCGAATATTGGCTATAGTAGAGCCTGCCACGCGGGTCTTAGGCCTTGATTTCTCGTGTCCTTGGGAGGATTCGCCGAGAAATGCAAGGAAAATCACTGGCCGATGCACCAATTTGGTGGGTACCAAGATTAGGGGGTAGACGAGTTGTGGAATAAGGTTTATTCGCACGGGCGTAGATTATTCGAGAAGAGTGTAAGGTGTCCCGGTGTGGACCGGGGAGCAACCCCTAATACATTCGGAGGCTCCTTATATACGAAGGAAGGCGGAGCTGAACCGAACAGGGTACAATATACACGAGTTGGTGCTTGAAAGGAGATGCCGCCGATTGGCTACACTCATGGCGCACGGGTACCACTCACTCTTGAGTGATTAGATACTCAAGAGTGAGTAGCTCACCGTTTAACCTACGGGGATTCCGTAGGCTATATAGAATACTAGCTGGCTTACCCGGCTCCGCCGTATCCGGACCAAACTTGGCACACATACACTTCGGGCCCTGGCGGGTGTCACAGTCCACTTTTCGTTATCGATCGATGTCGATTTTACCGATTTTTATCGATTTTTTTGCAGAGTTCACTTACAGGGCTAGGAGTTGGCACAGGGGGCGAAGTGAGCATGGAGATTCCGAATACAACATTAGTTTTCAGGATCGTCCATTACTTTTATCGATTTTATCGATTTTTTTTGTAAAGTTTGACCTGCGGGGCTGGGAGTTTGCACAGGGGGGTAATCGAGCATGCAGATTACGAACACAATATTAGTTTTCAGGATCGTCCATTACTTTTATCGATTTTATCGATTTTTTTTGTAAAGTTTGACCTGCGGGGCTGGGAGTTTGCACAGGGGGGTAATCGAGCATGCAGATTACGAACACAATATTAGTTTTCAGGATCGTCCATTACTTTTATCGATTTTATCGATTTTTTTTGTAAAGTTTGACCTGCGGGGCTGGGAGTTTGCACAGGGGGGTAATCGAGCATGCAGATTACGAACACAATATTAGTTTTCAGGATCGTCCATTACTTTTATCGATTTTATCGATTTTTTTTGTAAAGTTTGACCTGCGGGGCTGGGAGTTTGCACAGGGGGGTAATCGAGCATGCAGATTACGAACACAATATTAGTTTTCAGGATCGTCCATTACTTTTTCGATTTTATCGATTTTTTGAAAATTTGAGCTAGGGGGCTGGAATTTGGCACTGGAGTGTAATCGAGCATGCTGATCACCCCCTTGGGGATGATCAGCATGCTCGATTACCCCCCTGTACCAACTCCCAGCCCCCTAGCTCAAACTTTGCAAAAAAATCGATAAAATCGAAAAAGTAATGGACGATCCTGAAAACTAATATTGTGTTCGTAATCTGCATGCTCGATTACCCCCCTGTGCAAACTCCCAGCCCCGCAGGTCAAACTTTACAAAAAAAATCGATAAAATCGATAAAAGTAATCGATAATCCTGAAAACCAATATTGTATTCGGAATCCCCATGCTCGATTACCCCCCTGTGCCAACTCCCAGCCCCGTAGGTGAACTCAGCAAAAAAATCGATAAAAATCGATATCGATCGATGACGAAAAGTAGCCTATGACACCCGCCGGGGCCCGTAGTGTATGTGTGCCAAGTTTGGTCCGGATCGGTTCAGAAATGGAATTTTCTATTCGGAACATACGTACACACAGACATACATACAGACAGACAGACAGACATACATACAAACAGACATTCAGCTTTATATATAAGATAGAGTTCATGAATGGTTGATAATACAGAAATCATCAACACAAGAGCTCTGCAACCCTTAACATCATGCCATGAACTGTCGTGCAGTACAAAGATGTGTAGTAAGTCACTGATATGTAGAGATGAAATGACCGCTTCCGGCAATTTCTAAGAAAGTTAGACCAACACTTTGAACCCGACGGAATGTCCACATACTTTCCGGAACTGGCTTGTTGTGACGGTCCCAGAATTTCTGTCCGGGAGGGGGGGGGGGTATAAACAAGTTACCTGCACATTTTCACAACTTTGTTAAATAACCTCCCCCGGCCCCAGCTCGCTTGCTATGTCGTCAGTACTAGTTGCTTCGCCAATCTTTGTTTTCCTAACGGCTAGCATTATCTTCTCTGCCGTTACTGCTGGCATGATACTTCCATAGGACTTCGATGGAGTTGACGGTGCGACCCGTGGTGGCCATCTTTTCAAAATAGGTTCTCCATCATTCAGTGATATCCTATGGTTTTCTTAGCATCCTACCAAGTTGTGTTGTTTTTCTTTGATATGAAGGAAGTACTTCATATCTTTTGTGACTCCGCTCTTCTTCTTGCTATCCGGTATGTCTCAAGTTCTCTCTCGCGAGGCTGCAGTTGCTAGAGCTCCTTCTTTACACGTGTTTTGACCCCCCCCCCCCCGATCTGTCAAGATCGGGCCTGCCGTGCCCGATGTAGCCAAACGGGGTGTAGGACGATTCGCACGACCGTAATGTTTTCCACACAGGATCATCGCCGCGCGCGACACACTCTGCGGCGGCTTTTGCCCAAAAAGGAAAGGATACTTGGTGACCGTGGCTTTTGGAAATGTAGTGGACACCATTGAATGCACCTTGAAGCGCTGATTCCAAATCTGTCTTCATTATCTGCTGTGCGCTTTTCCGAAAGAAGTTATTTGTCGTCACCAAAATTTGCACTGTTTTTAATGCAGAATCGCCGATAACGCTAGAATGTTCGCGTACGCACTACAGAAGAACGTACAGATGAAGTAAAGCTTCACGTTAAGCTCAGGAAAACTGTCACCGATACATCGGAGTCTAAAAAGCCTAGATACTGACGATTTGGACTGCCTTAATCTCGCAAAATCAACATGGAAAAAAGTTCGTAACTTCGTTCAGGGAGTCGCACAGCAGACAACGAACATAGATTTAGAATCAGCGTTTCAAGACGCACCTACTGGTATACATCTCAGTGCAAAAACCCACGGTCACCAAGTATCCTTCCCTCTAAGCAAAACAGGGGGAGGAAAGGTTTGCGGCGTGCATTACATGTTAAGACAAGTCAAAATCAGGGAGACGCTGGAGACCGCCCGTGCGAAAAGACCGTCTCCCAGCCAAACGTGCCAAATGCCGTGCCCGACATGGCCGAAGTGCCGATCTAGCCTCGCTGCGCCGTGATTCAATGGGCAAACAGATGTGGACGACAGAACTTTGCAGAAATCAATATAACAGTCTTCTCACTTTATACAACCTGATGTACATTGCTGTTTACAGGAGTATCCCACCAAAATGACTCTTTTGTTATTCCGGCACAAATACATAGATGTCGCTTCAAAATAGTTTACTAACTTCATCTGCAGACTTCAGAACTTGTTCCCTCTTAGGATGTCAAAAATCTCCCATGAGAAACTATGTCGTCTTTATTCTTCACAGTAAAAACAACAAAAAATAGTGTTTCGGTACTATGAAATTTCCAACCAATCTGATTAACCACATATATTCAATAATCATATATTTGTAATCATAAAGTAGTTTGGTTGCGTCCACAAAGAGACAGATGAGGATAAATCCAGCAATACGGTGCAAAACTTATACTTGACTTTCTCTTCTGCTCGTCTTCATGAAAAAAAATTATATGCCCAGATTGCCTTTGTGAATTTCAGCAGATTTAAACATTAATTGATATCTAGAATGCAAACCGTTAATTCACCCACAATGTTGTCCACCACGAATTCACTTTAGTCTTCCTGAATATAAACAAAGCAACAAGCAACTCAAAGAGTTAAACTCCAAGATATTTCACAAATACACCCGTATCTTGGTGGGGCACATAGCCTTCTCCACTTTTTACAAGCGTCAAGGAGGTGAGGCTCCGAAGGCTCATCTCGAGATCTCATCCACCATGCAAAGTCGACAAGAACGTTACGACGTCTCCGTTATGTAATTCTGCTTTTTCCTACAAATACCTCGAAGAATAGTTTACAAAAAGACTAACAATAAGATAGCACGATAAGCTTACGCATCCAAGGAGCTCCCAGTCACATTCATTGACCAACACAAGCACACCGGGAGTCACTGTCCCTCCGTCAACAAGCATATCACTTCTAGTACAATCCTAGAACACACCAGTAAGCCTGATTTTTCTTAAACATAAACCGCTGCAGAAAAAACTCAGTGAGAATAGCTCAAGAGTGCGTACTCCTTACGGAATACTAGACTGAAGCAATGATTTGAATACATCATTAAAAACACCTCAGAAAGGTCAATTAGCATGTGAATTAAACCTATTTGCGTTGTCAAGCAATACAGACATAATCCACGCAACAAACTGCAAAACAAAGAAGCGGATAGATTGCAGAAAACTCAAAAATTGTGTAAACCACCTTTAGCATCACCTCCTTCACATATCGAATAAGTTCAAGAACAGTCAAAGTGTCTTCATCACAAGGAACTAAGACCTGAAAAAAAGAGGTAATAGCGGTTGACAAAAAGGCATTGACCAATCAGTTCCTAAGCGCTGCTTTCAGTAATTTTAATCAGTTGACAGATGACTACGCACTCAATGAATCGTAAGAGGAAGCTTTTCTCTACCGACAACTAGTAAATTCTCAGAAATGGTAATCCATAAACGCTGATCAGCAAAACACAAACAATAAAAACACATTACAAGAATAAACAGGGAAACTAACCTTATGCTCCTTCTGATTACCGACTAAAAATTCGCATCCTCCAGAGAACTCGAGAGTCAGATTGACTTTCCCCATTACACTGCACAAAGAAAATTAACATTATGACTTACTTAAGAATTGATACATAGTTGGAAAAACCATATCAGCAAGGAAGAGAGAGAGACTATTAGAAATTTATATCTGCAGTTTCATCAGTACCCACAATAATATATACAATCAATGTATAAAACTTTGCACATAAGGTTTTCTTTGACATATGGAATGGTAACAAACTATGTTGAACTTAATGTTAGTTGTTCTGGTGAACGGCCAATATGAGGTCTTCATGCTTTGAGAAAGTGACCTGGAAAGGAGTTTTGTTTTTGAAGCCCAAAAGAAGATAGCAGAAAGAAAGGTTGACGTGAAAGCTTACGCAGTAGATTTTGGTAGCAAAACTTACGAAATCAGATCTCAAAAATAACAGAAGAATAAAAACATTTAGTTCCAAAAAACAATAGATAAAAAGAAAATGCTACCTTTCCATGATCACTTAGTAGTGAGACTTGAGGAGGAAGAGCACTTGCTGGCTCCATCAGTGAGCATAAGGTAAGAAGTTGAGATCCCAATGGAGCAACCTCAGCCTAAAAAAGACCCAATTTCCCTAAGTATAAGTAAACCGCAGAAAAATTTAGCATGCCTTCAATGATCCCTTTGCTGATAAAGAAAGGCCATTACTGTCCGCCACACAAACACCAGTTATTCCAGGCATGCTCATTCTGAACAGAATTCTTGAAAATCCGGGTGAAAAAAAGTGTTTACACTTACATTTCCTCGACACGTTTCTCCAGCTTAGACTCCATCTACCTTGAGAAATAAAGCCAAGAGATACCACGACAGTGAGAGTCGAAGCTGACCCGAACAAAATCATTTGAAAAAGGCGTGCTAATATGTCAGTTGTGCAACCACACTATTCATGCGATATCGTACATCGTGCTCCACTGTCAATGGAACTAGCTCCTCAGATTGGAGGTAAAAAGCTTCACAGCGTTCAGTTAGGGGCCTTGGAACATCGGTGACTCCAAAGATCGTGTCAAGTAATGGTTCATCTTTTGTATATCGAACAACGCGTACAGTCTAGGTTGGACCACTCGCATTGTTTGATTGCATCATTTTAGAATTTTCGTTGAGCAAAACTGGTGGCGGTAGAATTAGCTTCATGAAAACATGTAAGAACTCTCGTGCGGTCAAGAAAAAGTCTTATATTTTGCGCCACTGTCCTGAAGGCGCAAATAAAAAGTAGTGCAATTACACCAAATGACTAGTCAAATGTAAACTATAGGCATGACATTGCACATCTGTCTAAGCATGCTCTCGGCCTTACAAGGCCAAAACTGCATCAAGAATAATACCTACTGTGCTAAAAACGAAATCTGTGGACTTTGCAATCAAGGATCCCGTGGTTATGATCATTTCGATAGAGCATGCTTCCCTCTCTTGTCTGTTCTTCGAAGTATTTAGTTTGACTCATCAAATATCGGAGCGCGGGTTGGAAAAAACGCCATATAGCCACTAATGTAAGATGTTTTACTGCCATAAAAAACATCGCTAGCGCATTACGCTTGGCATTGTCGACCGGTCTACAAGAATTTTTATCTGATGGACGCGATTGCGCGACACATGCCCACTTACACATAACTTACCTTCGATTTCTTTGAATGTGAATACAGAATAGCTATAATTTCTGCATACTGGCGAATAGTTCTTTTTTGCATGGTTTTCTTCGCCAAGAACCAGTTCTCCATATTTTTTGAATCATCGTCCTTCTCAGAAGATGGGCTCATTGGAATAAAAAACCCTCACTTCCCTACAGTTCACTACTCTCTGTTTCTAATTATAAGGTGTGTAATAACAACACTGGCTTTGTGGAATTTGAGTTGCAGTTTGCTTGGAATTAGCAGCAATAACGCATTCACTATTTCTATCTATCATCTCGTAGAAAAACAATGAAAGTTTTGTAGTTTTTACAATTTTGCGGAGTTTGGAGAAGTGGGTAGCAGTTTTGACAAATAACATAGCGTTCTTGCATAGCCAAAAGCATAAGCGCGTAAGCAGTAGCAATTCGCGTTTTACGGCCATTTTCTTATGCGCAAGTCGCAAGCAAGTTGTCGACATTCACAAGCATGGCAATTTCCGCGCAAATGTTGTCTTCCGTGCAAGAGCGCTATATCGATCGTCATATCTGCTACCCTGTACTTAGATCAGTATCAAAAAGAAAATTAGGCAGTGCGTTGTTTCTAGAACAGCAAATCTTGCCTGTTACGTTTCATCGTTATATGTCATTTACAAAATCGTGACGACGGATTTGACTGCGGTCTTTGCGCCCATAGGAGCAAAAGACTTATACAAAAAGGCATCACCTCAGTGGCTTAGCTCAGTCACTTCCATGTCTAAATACTCTGTATCATAGGTAAGGAATACGACAAAACCAAGGAAATCCGGTTGTTGGAAGTGCGTGCGTATCGCGCGCGGTCGCGCCATCGTCACGATTTTTCGAATGCCCTATACTTATTCTAAACACGACGCATACCTTTTAATAATTTATAACCATGTTCATCGCCATATGTATAACTTCAGATTTTGCCTCTTTAAGAGTATTTCCCTTCAACTTCTGAATTATAACTCTAGCAAATTATGAAATCACATGAATCTTCCCTTCCAAGTTTATACCTTCGCTGAATCACTTCTCGAAAGAATTTACTGCAGCAAGATCTTTGTGCTGTAAGTTGTGGGAAATGACAAAGATGTGGGCAAACATGGAATCCAGTAATGTTTGTTGTGTTATTCTGGACAGCCAGATTTGCTGAACCAAACGATTTTTTTTCCTCTAGAGTGACTAGTAATGATCGCGTTCTCAGTCGTAATAATTTAAGAGCCAAAGCTAGAACAGATGAAAAGATAAAGTCTTTGATCGTTCACTGGAGTTTGCCTTGTACGGTTTCGTGTTAAATTTGACGGAAAGAATTGTCATTTTCATTGGAAGTTTTCCTTCTTTTTGTATTTGAACTTGACAGGTCTTGACATTCATATAAATCAAAAAAATGTCAGAAAGCCCACATTTTCTTGAGCAACACCTTGCAAATAGTCTTCTACTGAGATTTAAAACTGCGTCAAAAAATTGAAACCTTTGGGGTTTTTTTCATGACCTTCGTGACATTCAATGCATGCCATTCAATTAAATTCTCGATAACTTGCAACTAAGAATCATGTTTGTATCGTTTTTAAGATGCCCATGAGTGAATCCTATTTCAGACTGACGATATGTATGTAGCAGTGGCGGTCCCAGGACTTCGGATCGGGTGTGGGGGATAAAAAATTTTCCTGAGGGAAGATGGTGGCGTTAGCCACGCACTTCGAAAAAATTTTTGGGCTGCTTTCCGAAATTTTTGAGAGCCCAAGACCCCAAAATATTAGGAAAAGGCGGGGAAGATTAGTCTGAATTTTTAAAAAAATTAGAAAATTATTCTGATTACTTACAAGTATGAACAAGTCACTTGCATTTTTATATATAGTAACTTTTGAAAATCTCGCGACACATTCTGGGGCGCGCTTGGACCGCCACTAGTGTGTAGAAGAATTGACTAGTAATATTATGAAATCATATTTACGCTATCTTCTTTTTGCAATTCTTTTGAACCTCACGCTAAGAGACTTTGTGAGAAGAGAGTTATTAGCGATTACGCCCTCTATCAGGTTGGTGCAAAAGTTGGGTTGAATCATTTTTGAAAGGTCATAACTTCTTGCTCTCCCAGCTGATTTCCACAAGCTTAATTTTGTTAGAAAGAGAAAACCCTTCTCATTGCGATAGTTCCTTTATTGCCCTCCAGCAAACTGAAGCTTTTAAGATGGAAGCAGAAGAATAAAATTACTTCAACTTTGATTATTGTGAGTTAGGCTGCTAAAAATCTGATACTTGCAAATTTCGAGCAAGCCGATCCTCGGATTTTTTCGAAATGGTGAGGTAACAAACCTTTTTTCCTGAGATGCTTATCAAATTTTCGTAAAGCCTCTAACTGTAGATTTTGACAGAAGAATATCTCGGAATCTCTAAAAATTGTGATTTCGTGAATTACATAGAAAACAAGGCAAATACATATTTTGTTACTTTAGGGATAACATGTTTAAAAAAATTCGAATTTTTAAAATCTGAGTTTACATTATAAACTTTCACATCCATTCAATCCTGCACCAATTCCTAGCATATTTCCCGTTCCACAAACTTTGTAAATGGATGAACAGAAGTGTGGATTTGGTGGTATACGTGGTATGTGGTGACATACGAGAAATTTACGGTCTCATTTTTGATCCATGTGATGTTACCACAGAGGTCCCGAGGAGAGCGGGAATGGGACGCGCTCGTGCTTTGGCACGGCGCCAGCACCGTGCTGCTACGGACAACTCGTGCGCAGCCTTGCTGTATCTTAAGCGCTAATAAATTCTCTAAATTCCTCCAAATTCTTCAAAAAAAGTAGAAAGTTTGAGTATGAAACGATTTTTTCTTTGCAGATCACAAAACAAATTTCGCTTTTTCTACCCAATTTGGCAATCACTGAGTCACTTCATCTACTTCCAGCCAAAACCTACTTATACTTGAATATCTAGGTAAATGCTGAGTAATGTCCTACATATGCTATCGCTCTCTGTCCATGACTAAGCTCTAATACTTCGCAAACCTCACAGTGTAATGTCGTAATTGCTGCTGTATTGCTTGTCAAAGACGGAGTTTTTCCAGGAATTTTTTGTCTTTTCTAGGATGCTTTTAGCTTTCGCGCCAGTCCTAAAGCATTGAATATGCCAATCATCTTTACTTTGATCTGGTTTGGTCACTTGGTGGAGAGTAGAACAGGCTGCAGTCTATAAGCTTGAATTGGCTCTACAGTCACGCATTTCTTGTTTTTAGCCATTGTTGAGGAAGTTGAAGCTGATTAGGATATTAGTATTAGTACTACATTATATTAGTACTGATATTATATTAGTACTACATCAAATTCATTTCATTTTTATTATAGTTCTCTGCTTTCAGGGAAAGTGGCACATGACTATTATTTTTTTCTATCACGATAGTGAGATTTAAGACAAAAGATCGTGCAAAGAAAAGACAACAAAGATTAAAAAAAGCCCTCCAAAATTGAGAACCTTACCTTTTTGTAGTGCCATTCGATCGCAGAGGATTCATAAAATTTTTGAGGCTCAAATTAGAATCAATCAAGCAAAATTTTGAGCTGTCACCTCCATGTGTTCTAGTGTTTTTATTTTTGAGGAGAGCTTGTTACCTTCAAAATACTATTAAAGCTGTTTGTGATAGTTTTTCTTCTCTTCTGAAGCTAGAGCTTCAAATAAGTTTTCTGCAGACCACGTACAACTTAGTACTTTCACTTTTGGAAGCTTATCCAAACAAGGTTATCGGATAGATGAGCTCTCTTTATAAATATATAAATTTCCACGACATCAATTTAGCGATCAATGTCAATGGAATGCCAATTAACCAAACTTGAAATGTTGCTGTTTACTGTCTTGTGTGTCATGAAAAGAGAAAAACAATAAAGGTAGACAGGTCTGTTGTGAAATTTTTGTCACTTATATTTTTGGATTTTTTTTATCTCCAATCCACAAAAAATTTCATTCAGGTTCATTATCTAATTTGCAATATACAAATATTAGTGGCGGTCCCAAGATTTCCGTCCGGGGGAAAAGGGGCAAAAAAATTCTTAATGAGGGTACGTGGCGTTAGCCACGCACTCCGGAAAATTTTGCGGGCCCCCAACCCCTAAAATCTGGAAAAAAGGGGCATGGCGTCAGCCAC